AATTTACTATAGAGTGCCTGATGGTGTATATTTCAGGCAAACGCAACAGCCAATTTGTAATGCCCCACAAACAGCCATGAAGAAGTGAATGACCAATTTTATCTGGAGGACTGTTAACCAAGATTCCAGATTGTAAAAAAAACTTCCTTGTCGTTTCGAACAGTTTTTGTTATATAAATTAGTCCAGTGTCCTTGCCTCAACCAACCTTCCTGGAAACATGTTCAAGTTGTTAATTGCCCGCTGAGTAAAGAATGATCAGAATACGACTTACTAGATTTGTTGAAACAGGNAAAAAAAGAAAGCAGCAATACTCTGAACAGAGATCTTTTGAAACCATATTTAAAATATTCTTTAAAGGTAAATGGTTTAATATACTGGTTAATTATTCCTCAAAGAAATGAGAGAGAAGTTTTAGGAAACAACATTAAATACTAATGTAACATAACCAAATCAATTTTTATTGTGTTCCTGCACTTGAATTAACTGCAGTCAAACATAAATAATTCCTCCCTCAGTTAGCAAATTTTCACGGTTTCTAAATTACCTCCATTAAAAAGCCAATACAAATGGCTTGCAGACATTACCAGAGTGTGTGTGTTTTTTTACAAAAGTTTAAAAATCTAAGACAGCCACAGACTTTACTTAAATGCAAGCAAAAGATACATTGCTAATGAATATTAAATTTAAAAAGAACAGCTTCAGGGAAATATCAGTCTCCAAAACTAATTTTTATTTTATGAGTAGTGCTAGATAAGACCACACAAATCTGTGGTGGTCCAAATACAGATCACTTAAAACTGTGGATCCAATACTGAATCCAAGCAAAAGCATTCAATACACACAGGAATACCTATTGTGTCATGTTTTCTTGAGATTACATCTAACAAATAACTCTGGTGTGACAGACTTCAATAAGAGTCCAGAATGTCTACAAAACCAAGTAGAATATTGTTCATATTCTTTTCCTGCCTGACTCATATGAAACTGAAACATTTCTGATAACTTGTCTGCAGAGTAACTTTCTTACCATTTCTAACTGGTCCAAATGCATATGTCTCTGATCATGAAAATAAAGGAAACAGTCTTGTACTGAGCTGAAAACAGGGCTAAAAGAAAAGTACACTCAACTAAAGTTCTTAAAAGCACGATCCCTAGGTTTTCTCTTTTGAACTGTGGACTATTTTTAAGCAGAGGCTGAACTCCATTCAAATCCAAAGATGTATGTTGATTGCCTGATTTTTAAGGTCATTTTGTACATAGCTACATCAAAGTACATAAGAATATAACATGAGAATTTGCTAGACGAAAGAAGATCAAGGTCCATCTAGTTTGCCTTCCACCGTCTTGGCTGTTGCTTGACATGTTGTGTCCCAAAATATGTACTGTATCCTGCGATATTACTTTCTAGCAGAAATCTAATTTGTTCTTGAAACAAACATTTTCTGCTTCCCCTATCTCTCTAGGGAGCCTGTTCCATAAGTTTACTACTCACTGTAGTAGTGTTTCCGCAGATTTGTTCTGTATCTACCCCCTTCAATCACAGCCATGTCCTCTGGTTCTACTGTTCATCACAAGATAGAACCTTTTATTGTGGTCTATATTCCCTTCAGAATCTTAAAGACCATAACCATATTACCTCAAAATCAAAAATGTTCAGTTAAAAACAAGCGAAGCTACTCAGATATTGCCCTAAACAATCTATCTACATACTGATCAACAAGAAAGAGTAGAATCTGCTATAACTTTCTTTTGCAATAAACGACCAGCAAGGGAACATTCTACAATCCAATTCACTCATCAGTGCTTAAATAGAAGTATTGTTCCCACATGAAACTGCTTGGAATGACTGCGTCTTTTGTTCAGTAAGGAACACTAAAGTTCTGCGTTGTATTAATAAAGTGCCATCGCCTTTCAACAGAAGATATGCACAGTAACAGGCAAAATTTCAACGCTGCAATTTCACACAGCATTGGGTTAATATGACTGACTTCTTGTAGCTGGGTTAAAAAGACTATTTAACTGTTTGGGTTTAGAATTTAAAGGGGAAGGTTGTGAGAAAGAAATGTCTTCAATACACTTTTTTTCTAAAATAACCATTAAAAAAACTTTCATTTCCTTTGATTCCAGGAAGCCTACCGTTACAAGAGGAAATCACTCGACATTATCTATATCCTCCATTTATATCCGATCACCTCCATGTAGTCAAGTTTAGTTCAGCACCCTTTCTCATCTAGGCCAGAAGAAGGTATAGACTAGAAATGTAAGCAATGAGCGAAAAACTTCAGCAAGTATATTGCTGTACACAGGAATGGGAATAAAAAGTGCACAACAGAGTCGCAATTCTTCACTGAAATGAAAGTGTCATACTGGGCAGTTGGGGGTACTCTATGGTCGGGTTTCACTGGGAAATCGTGGAGGGTGTCTTGTTTCTCGAAAATGGAACAGCTTGGTACAAATACCAGATCTCAATCGTAAAATAGTGCTCAATTCTTTGACACTGACACTCTTCAATATTAATTGGAACAGACAAAAACATTTACAGAAGCACTGTATATTGGCAGAAAAAGAAAAAAGGAAATAATTGCTTTTTTTTTATTTGTTAACTTGGGATCAAGAACTCTTATAAAATGAGAATGAATAAAAATGGCTTCCACTTTTGGAATAAATATTTAGGCACTACTTTTATGAAACATGGTTGGTGCAAATTGCCTGCTGTGTTTCCTACATAACATTCACTTCATTTTGTGAAATGCTCCATAAGCATTCTTTTACATAAAATGCTCTATATAAAATGAAACTTGTTCCTGTTGAATTCATGCTTCCATGATTATACGGATCAGGGATGTGTTTATTTGGAAGTTAATTGCATGGTAAAAGGCTTACTCAGTAATACTCAAAACAGTGCTGCAATAATGAGTCTCTACACAACAGCAACTTCTCCAGTAATTTATGATTTTAAGCACTGAACAATGCAAGCTCAAGTCCACAAACTAATCAATCAACTTGGACACACTTCCACTTAGATGAGCTGTGAGCTGATACACACATGTAACAGGCTCAGGTCATCAAAACATAAATCATTAATAATCTGTTGTAAGGAAACAAGGATGGCTGTTTCAAAGATTTTCTATTTTAAAGCCTTACAGTAAGCTTGACATAACCAGAGAATTTTTTTATGACAGTAAAGTATCTAAGTTTCTATGTTTGTACACAGCCTATTGGAGGGAATAATAATCCCTCCAAAAACCAAAAACAATAATAAATTGGTCATTTTCAATCCATGACTGTTTGTGGGACATTGCTGTGCGCAATTGGCTGCCGCGTTCGCCCACAAATATACAGTCAATTCACTTTACAGTGTGTTCTGTGAAGCGCTTTGGGACGTCCTCCCGACGTGAAAAGCGCTATATCAAATGCAAGGATTATTATTATTATTATTATTATATGCTTATTGCTCCAATGCAATACAGTGGGAATACTGCATTTTGTAAGACTAGTATTTTTGATAAGACATTAAACTGAGATCAAGTGGCCATTATTTGAAGAGAAAGAAATTTCTCCTAATGTACTGTACTCAATTTTGCCACCAAAACTTTGCTAGGATGACCATTATCACCCAACAGTACATTTAAACATGTCAAAATAATACAGAATAGGTTGCCTGGCTCTTTAGAATAACTAGCCTAAATGTGACATCAAATAAATCAAGTTACAGGTATTTAATGCTACGTTAGTTACTATTCAATTTAATGTAGATGTACAATATCTCTTTGGGGAGTTATTCTCATCAATTCACTAAATGCAGCAATTATTGTACGTTAAACTGTATACAGAGATTTGCTAGACTTAAAAACCCTCTAGATCTTAAAACAGCAAGATCAAAAACTTGCAGCCTGACTTACAGGCCACACTAATCAATACCCCCAATTCCTTAAAACTGCTCAAAACAGAATGTGATATAGCTCTATACAGGCTTTAATTTGTCTTGGGAAACTTTGAAAATTCAATTGTTTTATTTTATCTGATCATTGGGAGATATCAAAACAATACCATCACTGATGAATTGTGAATGTGACCCATTCTAGTCCAAATCCTCCGCAATAGAGAAACAGTTATGAAGCTGACATCAGATGAAAACCATGCTAATTAACTTGGTTCAAAACTTGGCAGAAATCAACTACATCATCTGCTCAATTACAAGTCATTCAGGACATGTCTACGGCATTGAAGTACAACTGAAGACAACAGACTATTGTTTATTGAGTCTATTCACTCATGATTTTTCTGGAAAGGAATATTCATTTTATTTTTGAAACAAGCTTTTCATTATTACATTGGCTGCATTTTAAAGTTTCAGGTCAGCTCAGGTTAAAATATTGTAACTAATAATGATACGCAGGTTTAGTCAAGCAAACAATAGTTTAGCAACAGTATACATCTTGAAACAGTATTGAGCAAAATGAAAGAAGAGACAGAATGAAGTATTAATGCACTAGATATTGTCAAGATCTATTTCCCCTCTTCCCCCATGCACAATCAAAGGAGTGGAAGGACACAATGTTGGGGCCATGATTCCTTCATTAGGAAGATTTTCTTAGGGACCATAGAATAAACATAAGAAGATAAGTGTTTGGCACAAGGGAAAGAAACCAAAAGGCATTGTTCCTCCAAACTCGTCTTGGGCACTTTCCCAACGGTAGTTTTGTGGGAAATGGTGATGGACAAATCCAGATATCACTTGCCATTCAAACGTGTGTGGAAGGTATGTCCATTAAACTAATACTTCATGAAGTGTAAAAAAATTCAGCAGTGCAAAAAATAAATATATAAATAAATATGGAAACAGAAACCATCACTGGAATAATTTGGATTCTACATCACACCGCTCACAAGTCTCTCAATATTTTAACTTAACTTGTTGAATTTGACCTCTTGATAAGGTATTAAATCCTAAGCAACTCTTAACTATGAATTCAGTGGACTGAGCAACAACACTTACAGTTACAGACTTCAATGTCATGCCGTGGTAGGTCCCCATGGTATCAATCTTGAAACCTTCCGTTTCTGCAAAGAAAAGTAATCATAGTTAAGAATGTCAAATAAAATGTAGTCATTTCTCACCATTCCTGCAGTTATCCAAAATTGGATAAATTATTTACCCAACAATTCACTGTATTAAAAAAAATAGTACCTCCATTCAACACTAACTAAAACTGCTAACATCTGAGGCTCAACATCTGCCACATATAAATGAAAAAGCACTTCTTCGTTGCATTCAAGAGTCAGGGTGGAGGGTGAGAAACATATGATTAGAATCGGCTCCTTTTCTATAATGCAGACACAGAATGAACCTGAATTATTATTGGAGGTAAACACGACTCGCAAAAGCTACGGCCTTGTGGCTTTGAGACCCCACTCCAAGTAGAGGACGCTACTTAATATAATAATAATCCTTGCATTTGATATAGCACTCTTCACGTCTTCTAGACGTCTCAAAGCCTTTCACAGAATGTACTGTGAAGTGAATTGACTGTATATTTGTGGGCGAAACACGGCAGCCAATTGTGCACAGCAATGCCCCATAAACAGTTGTGGATTGAAAATTAACAATTTATTATTGTTTTGTTTTGGAGGGATTATTATTAGGCGTGTGGAGTAAGGAAACTTGCCCAAGGTTTCGCCCTGCCTGGAATTGAACCCAGGTGTCTCGCTTGCAAAGCGAGTGCTCTAACCATTGAGCTACAGGACTCCAAAAAGGTAAGTTCTTATTGTTGTAGCATCAAGAAAGCATTAGATTCCAATTCAGAGACATCTGCAAAGCAGATCAATCAGTGCCACTGTTCAGGACACCCAATCTGGATAAAGAAACAAATTCCAGGATTAATAGGTAGGAGAAGGTAATCATTATTATACAATTAAAAAGTTTATTAGGCTTTTCTATAGAGCTATATTAAAACAACATTTCTAAGCATCCTTGCAAATCTTCCAAATCTGAAAATAGCAATTTAAGAAAACTGGACACAACTTAACACAATATACATAGGTAGCCCATCAACAAGCAGTTCCCATTTATGTGGTGCAGCCCATTTCAGACTGTGAGACTGGTCACACCACACATTAAAAAAGGAACTGTTGATAGAATAATCAATTTACTCAACGAATCCTTTCAATGTGATAAAGTTCCCAGCAAGTTGCTGTGAAACTCAAACAAATCTTCACGGTACATGAATTGCTTTTAAAAAAACATTGGTGACAACTGAAAATTTCAGACCGATAGTGCTCCCCCCACTGAGTATTTTCTATTAAAAATTTGATCCCAGTAATCCTTTCCACTTCCTTGGAAGGTTTAAATATTTCAGAACATATAAGCATTTAAAAAAGTTCAGCTTTTGGTTATTGAAAATAAATCAATTTGATACCATATCTACAATCCCACACAAACTCAAATCGTACAGAAGACCCAAGTCAAAGTACAATTTTAGTATTTGATTTTGATAAAAGTTTTCATGGGAATTGAACTTTGTGACAAAAATGTTTTCTTTAACAAAAAAGCATCCTCTATGTACTGGAGTTTGTGCGGCAATTTCTACGGATTTTTTTTAAATGGGTGAGCAAAAGTACTTTATACAGCAATGTTGTGCAACTCAATCTTCTTTAGTTCTAGCAAGTCAGTGTGTTGCAATTCTCCCACAAAATAGTTAAAGATAAGGGCCTATGGAATTGGGGGGAGCATATTAACGTGGATTCGGGGAATGGTTAACGGGTAGGAAACAAAGAGTAGGGATAAACGGGTCCTTTTCAGATTGGCGGGATGTGACTAGTGGAGTGCCACAAGGATCATTCCTTGGGCCTCAGCTATTTATTATCTACATCAACGATCTAGATGAGGACATCGAAGTTAATATATCTAAATTTGCGGATGACACAAAACTAGGAGGAAGTGTCAACACAGAGGATGACATTAAAAAACTGCAGCGAGACATGGATAGGTTAGGTGATTGGGCAGACAGGTGGCAGATGAAGTATAATGTAGGGAAGTGATAGTCATCCACCTAGGTAGCAAAAACAGTAGAGCGGGTTACTTTTAGAAGGGGAGAGATTGGAATGTGTTAGCGTCCAGAGGGGCTTGGGTGTCCTTGTACACCAATCACAGAAAGTTAGTCTGCAGGTACAAGCAATTAGGAAGGCAAAGGGTATGTTAGGATTCATTATGAAAGGATTAGAGTATAAGGGTAGGGAAGTCTTGCTGCAACTGTATAGGACCCTCGTGAGACCACACTTGGAATACTGTGTACAGTTTTGGTCTCCTTATTCAATGAAGGATGTACTTGCCTTGGAGGTGGTGCAGCGTCGATTTACTATGTTAGTACCAGGGATGAAGGGGATGAGTTATGAGGATAGGCTGACCAAATTGGGCCTATATTCTCTAGAATATAGAAGAATTAGAGGGAATCTTATATAAATCGATAAGATCATCAAAGGGCATGATAGTGGGAGATTGTTTCCCCTGGTTGGAGAAACTAAAACCAGGGGTCACAACCTTAAAATCAGAGGCCAGCCCTTTCGCACTAAGCTGAGGAAGAACGTCTTCACTCAAAGGGTGGTGAATGTATGGAACTCGCTACCCCAAAGGGCTGTTGACGCTCAGTCCTTGAACATATTCAAGACTGAGATAAATAGATTTGTTATTGCAAAAGGTATTAAGGGATATGGGAATAAGGCAGGGTTAGATTATTAGCTGGAGTTAGATTAGAAGATCAGCCATGATTGAATGGCGGGGCAGGTTTGAAGGGTGGATGGCCTACTCCTGCTCCTACACGTTATGTTAAGTTACACACTTTTCAGGAGAACCTGTGAAAAACTGAGACTTCGATGACATGATAAGGCGACATATTAAATGCATGGATTATCATCAATTGCAAGGACTATTTCAGGAGTCCAGTCAAATTTAAGTTATAAATCACCATTAGAAATCGCCAGCAATTCAAACATACAGCAGTTAAATCAATTTTGATATCGGGGAGCAGCATTACAAGTTAGGAGTTGATTAATACGAGTAGTGCAAAGATTTAAGCTGTTTTGATAGGAAACTGAATGGTTAAGCGATTGTATGATTTTGAAAGATAAGATTTATGTGATTTCTACGTTTATGTATTTTATTTGTCAAGGTTAACACTAGTGTATTGAAAAATCTATTCTGAGGTTCCTGACAAAGTAACTTCATTACTTCAATTAGTTTTCCAACATAAGGAGAGTAAAGGTAGCCTAGAATTTCCCAGAAATCTTGAGCTAGCTTTTCTTAAAAACTAAAATACTTATTTTATAAAAAAAAGTGAAATTCATAAATCAGGAAGTGGAGCCCCTATAAGAAAAACCCTGAAGGCGACAGATGTTTTTCTGTGGCCACGTTTTATGGATGAAGAACAAAACCATCATAACAGTAGTTCCACTTGAAGTTGTATATAACCAAGCTGAAAACCAACCTCTTCAAAATGTGCATTTTATTACAACAGATGAAGCCCCTTCATGCTGAGCATCCTAAAATTAATTGAATATGTCAAATGTAGTTCTCCCAGTCCTGTTGTTTATGAAAAGAAGTTCTGCTGGATGATTATAATCAAGAATAATTTTAACACTTAAATAAGCAGTCCTTGTAGGGCAATTCCTGGTTGTGAAGCTTAGAAGTGAACTTATTTTCATTGTAGAATTGACAAAACTGATTTAAGGTACAATGTCTCAAACCAAATAATACAGTAAAAAAATCACATAATCGCATCAGTCAGGATCATAGCATTTAATATGACTTAAAGTCCGAGTTACAGACAAATTGTAGAAGTCATATAAAATGTGATTTAATCAATAATCTACACTCCGCAAGCATAATGGAATGTTGCTGATAAGTGCACATGCAGTGATAGGTCAAGACTACATTTCCTGCAATTCAATGTGTCTTGACCAGCCACTGCACACACACTTACCAGCAAGCATTGGAAATGCATAGAATCACAGGAAATGAAGTTCTTCTGCACATGTGGCAACAGATCAAGACTACATTTTCCGAGATTCAATGCAATCACCGGTTAGTGCGCATGCTTCGACAGGTCAGGACTGGAACTGAACTGCCAAGATTGTAACAGCAGACCAATCAAAGGCTGTTGGCTGAGGATAATGGTATTGGAGAAAGAGCCCAACCAAAAAAAGGAAGCCACTACAAGCCTGCATCCTTATTCTAAACCTGCTTATTGCCAACCTACAGTAAAGAAAGTGATTAAAAAAAGTGTAAGCATTGACAACAGCCCAGAATGCTACATCAATGATGAGAGAAAAATTAAGCGTGGCTGATAAAGCTGCCTTATATACACAAACGAAAAGATGGTTCTGCATGTTTCTATGAACTGTACCAAGAGTCTTCCATGAATCAAGTCCCTCAATAATACAAATATAATTTTATAAACATAGCAATCTATCACATTGCTGATTTTTAAACAGAAACTGGAATTATTTTATCACAGAGATATCTTGTAATGATATGGCAAATTTGTTTTGACCATTCTTCAAAGAACTAGACTACACAAAACTACAGTTGATTCCTTGAAATAACTGACTATTTCAATGGGCCATTTATCTTTATGAATTATAAGTGTGCCTGCATTGGAGAAGTCAAATCTATAGCATACTTTGCAATGCAGCTGTTATAAATGCAAGATAAATAAGCATTGATACACTAACCAAATTTAAACTTGTTATGATTAGTTCATAACTGTCACTTTGAAAACACTTAAGGAAAAAAGCCTTTTTTGAAACAATTTGTTTTAGAGTACAATATGCATGAATAATAAATTTAAAACTTCCAATTGCTGCTGCTCACAAGCAGTCTTTAGATGATACAATGACTGATACTGAACCTCATTTATCTTTTCTTAAAATAAATTATGTACAGAAGATATTGTCCATTTCAGATGCTGTACCACACATGACCATGTTAAATCAAATTATCTTCTCCCTCTCAATCACATATTTAACATTTTGAGTTAAGATTCACAGATCTGTGACCAGAGGAGACG